GGGGGCATGCTCCCCCGGTAAGATATTTTTAAATGTTGGACTTAAATGCATCAATCTGGTGCACTTTGAGGGGGAATAAAGAGACTACACCCATATGAAACAAAAATGTATACATTTAAATAATCATAAAATCATAAGTACATGGCCATAACCAATAACATACAATATCCAATATGAAAAAACATTGAAACTTGTTTATTTATTTGTTTTTGGTTCATTTATAGTTGTGAGTGTGTCTGGGCTCCTGAATCGGCCTCTCCTGTCTCCCTCCTCTCCCCCTGCTCCTCTTTGAGGCAACAGCAAAGACTAGTTTAGTCTCAACAAGTTTATCTTACCTTTTTTCACCTAGTTAACATTTTGTTTGTATTATTCATGCATATTTTACTAATCACTACCCCCTCAAATGGAAATATGTGTTTACATAAATGGTGACCGAACCGTTTGAGACCCACTGAGATAACTTAAACTAAGTTAACTATCTAAAGACTCAGAGAGTAATTTACCTCACCAGAGCTGTAGTTATCAGCCTCTCAGTCTGACAGCAAAGGACTCTCCCTCCACCTTGTTGTTGAAACAGCTCCTTATATCCGTTAGCGCAGCTAGCAAGCACCAGATGCTAACAACAATACACGTAACCGGTGCGCGCGCTTTCTCGCTCGCTCGTGCCACACATACACCAACACACACCCTCCCGAGCTTGAATGACACACAGAGACCAATCGAGGACATTAGTATGATCTGTATGAAAGTGGCAATGTCGGCAGGCCACGTCATGTAGACAGCCAGTCACCCTCTGTGAGGCAGAGTCAGACCCACATTTGCGCTGCGTTGCGTTTACAATATATACGTATATTGCCGGCGGCTGAGTACCGGCATTTAGGTGCCGGTACTCAGTAAGAAGTGCCGGTACCACATGGGTAAAAATCAGAAGTGCCGGTACTGCGTACCGGTGAGTACCGGCCCAATTCAAGCACTGAGTGAAACTACCCTTGGATGATGGTAAGGTAGACTAAAAGCTTTAGGAATCCAAAGTAAAACATATAATAAGCACCCTGTATCAAGATTGATGCAAAACAAGTGACATTTGACCTTTTTAGAGAGGTTTAGCAAAATAAACTCTACCTCTGAGGTGATTTGGGTGGAAATGGGGGTTTTACCGTTTCTCTGGAACCCATTGCTCGATTTTGGTGATTGACATCTCTTTCTGACTGTTAGAGCCAATAGAATCGAAGGAGAATCTCCCCACTCACACAAAGTCTAAAACAAAAAGGTGGGTGCTTCGCGGACGCAGTTTTGCATGAGAGTTAAGCTATAGAGCTATAGCTCTAGCTCTGACATCTTGAAACCGAAAAGCAGGTTCATTGGTCATGGATTATCAGAAATCATTCAAAGTGACACAGACACATTGAGTTAACCTATGGATTAACTTCAGCAGCGTTTTTATCGTTTTAGTGCCATTGAAGACCACTTTTGACCAGACTACGACACAGGTGAGCCATGTTAGCGTTTTTAGCTAGCGCCATATATTTTGATGTCTGTTCTTGTTATTATCTCCGAGAGTTCGTATCATTGAGTGATAATGAAGGGTAGGCTACCCCTCGATTTTGTGTCATTGATGTGAAACGATGGGTTGGGATGTGCAGCAAAGATAAATAATAAGGTTTTGTGAGTGAATTTCGGTGCAGTCATCTGTTAGCATTTTTCGCTCGTTGCTAATTCAGAGGCTCAGCGTTAGCATTGTGGGGGGTTTTTGGAAAAAAAAATTCAAATGATCAGTTAGATGAGTTTCTTTCCGTTACATGGATATAAAACATTCATAGTTTATTAAATGAACATGCCCTCAGACATTGTTTCCTGCAAGATGTTGCAGGAGGCCCCCAGTACCGGGGTCTCTCGGGCTTAACAGGTTGACAGCCCTAGTTTTTACATTAGTGTATTCTCAGGTGTGATGTACTGTTTGATGTAACAACACTGTGAAAATGTAATTTTTCACTGTGGGATTAATAAAGTATGTCAACTTCTTCTAACTTTGTCAATATGGGATATTGAGTGCATTGCATGTACCTTGGTTTTGATGCTTTCAGTGGTGAGACTCTGTGCGATGATGTTGATGCTCTCACAGTGACCGAGCACATGAGCCCTGCCCTGAGAGTTGTTCATCAGAGCTTTGATGCAGCCGATCAGTGAGGTGTGGATCTGAGAGTTAGTGGTCTCATAGTCCATCGACTTGAGGAAATTCAGGATACAAGACAGGCCGTCCAACTCAATGAACCGCGTCACGAACCTGGTGGAGATTAATCAGAATGGCCTTGTTAGGGTTATTCTACATATCACTGCAGTACGTGAGAAAATTTAACAAAAACTAAGGACATGTTCATTTTCTAGGATAACTTGGGCTGGATTTGTACCTCATTGGCTGTGTCCTCAGTGCCGTCTTCAGACCATCAGCGATTTTATGTTTTCCCTGTTCTTCCTCATCCTCCAGTGACAGCAGAGTCTTCCTCTGGTAAGGGAAGTGTTGAACAAAAAAATGCCTTACAACTTTTCAGAACTTGTTTTGACTTACCACCAAATTAACTGATAGTTCGGTGGTACAAAAAAAGGCAAAATCTGTGCAGATTGTCGCTTATACATCCATGGTACAGATTTTATGCAAGACATGTTGTACTTCAGAAAGTAATCTAGTATCAGAAAACCCTTTAACAGCCAGCACCGCCATTTGGCAGAGCACATTTTGTGTCTTGATATCTTGTTGAAAGAAAATTCAAAAGTTTAACTCCATCTGATTCAGCCAGCTCTACCATTTGTTTGACATTTTATGCACAATACAACCTCTAGATGTCACTGTGGTTCGAACAGAAAGCCCTTCAGCTAGCTTCCACTGAGAAAGTTGGCATGCTAAAAATCACTGCTGAAGAAATCACTCTTTTTGGTCAACTTTTGTAAGGTAACCATATCCTTTTTGACATATTTTAGTGTCAGAGCACTGAGTGAACATAATTAGATAACTTGATGCACAAAAAAAGTTTTAACAAGGGTGTAATTATTATTTTTTTAAATATGCCCAATCAATCGGTCAAATTGGCCTTTTATGATAAGCTAGCAATATGACTTTTACAGAGTTTCAGAGATGTTTTCCAGTAAGAATATGTTAAATAAATAGCTATATTCATGGTAATATTACTAAATCTAGTACTGCCTTATGAGTCTCAGAGTGAAAGAGTGATAATCATTTATATAGCACTTTTCATGCATGGCATTCAGCACAAAGTTGCACACAGATGAGCAAGTTAGGCCAACACAGGATATAGACATTTGCTGTTAGGCCAGTGGTTTCTTGTTAGGCCAATTCATACAGTAAGATGAGCGATTATTTTTTTATTATGAAAAACACTTAACATTACTTTTTTTTTTTCAATTATAATTTATTATCTTTTATGAGTATCTGGTTGTATATATTGCTCATTTTCCACAAAAGAAAAAAATGTATTTGAGTTTGTGTTTTATTTGAGTTTGATGCATACAAATACTGTACTGTATGATTATTGTTGAAAATGCACTTTTACCATAAAAGGCCAGCTCGACCAGTTGGTAGAGGCTCATAAACACAAAACTGTGCGGTCAGTCAAAAAAAGATAATTGTTTGTGGTTATTTGTGTCCCATTTGATAAAAAAATGCAAACAAATAATTTTTCCATAGATGCTTTCTTGGTTCTGGTAGTTAAAGGGTTAAGCAGGCTCATGAAGAGATACTGTACACCTGACAAATGCATGTATGGGGCTAAATATACTGNGGGCATGAAGAGAGAAAAAAGTCCAGCTAGCTCCCCAATTGATTCCCATGTTAAATTGTTCCGGATCTTTCTTCAGAGCAGAGAGAAGTACACTTTAGATCAGTGACCACCAACTGGTGGCCCGCGGGCCACATCCGGCCCGCCAGACATTCTCATCCGGCCCGCACGACGGGGGTGACTGTGGCGTTGGCGGAGTGGTTACTGCGTTTGCCCCCCACCCTTTTTTTTACAACGTCTCGTGAGTAAGGTGCAGTAATGGAGTCCAACAGAGACGCAGCAGCTGTGGGACTGTAGACTGCGTACTGCGAAACCTTCCCTGCCTTGAAGAAGAAGTGATCCTTGTTGTGAAGAGTCTGGTTAATAGAGAACCGCAGTGACGCGTCGTAAAACCCGGAAGTAAGTTAGCATTTTTAGCACTTCCGGTTCCTTCCTCAAAAAGCAATGCATTTTTTCCATAGGGTTTTGGAAAATAGCTCGAAATAAGGTCTGTGGTTGACACAAATTTAAGATGTAAATCACGTTTTGTTCCACGACATTATTATATCTCATCTCAATGCGCAAAATGTGAAGGCAAGGAGGAGTTTTTCGTTACGTAAAAAAAGTATCCCAAAAACCTTTNGACAGACTGGTGACTGGAGGTCCAGCTGTTGGTGTACAGCAGTGACCACCAACTGCCGGCCCGCGGGCCACATCCGGCCCGCCAGACATTCTCATCCGGGCCGGATGAGAATGTCTGGCGGGCCGGATGTGGCCCGCGGGCCGGCAGTTGGTGGTCACTGCTGTACACCAACAGCTGGACCTCCAGTCACCAGTCTGTCAAGCTCCTGAAGTTCAGACAACACCCTCATCTGACTGATCTCTGGTGGGGACGAGTCTGTCTACAGGGGGGTGGGGGTCGATCATCTGGTGACCTGGTGCAGGGACAACCACCTGGAGCTTAGTGCTCTTAAGACAGTGGAGATGGTTGTGGACTTTAGGAAGAACGCAGCCCCACCGCCCCCATCACTCTGTGTGACTCCCCAGTCACTGCTGTGGAGTCTTTCCACTTCCTGGGCACCATCATCGCCCAGGACCTCAAGTGGGAGCACAACATCAGCTCCCTCATCAAAAAAGCCCAGCAGAGGATGTTCTTCCTGAGGCAGCTGAAGAAATTCCNACAGTGAACGCGTCACAGAGAAACACCTTCAGAGTTTACTGCAAACTTTGGCGCTTAGAAGAGGTTTATAGGCGTCTCAGCGAGCTAGCGCAGCATTAAAGGAGGTGTTTGAAGCTTACTCAGCTGGTATTCACAGTCCTCGAGAGAGAGAATTCTGGATGGGCCTGCTGTGCTGGTACCGGACTGAGGGACATTACAGAAAAACTGAAGGACGAAAGATCATATATGAGATGTTAATATAAAATAGTGCCTATGCTTTAATGAACCACACTCGAGTATGTGTGTGTGGTAAGTGTGATGTGTGTGTGTGTGTGTGTGTGTGTGTGTGGGTAGCTGTGTGTGTGTGTGTGTGTGTGTGAGTGAGTGCGATGGGCCACTCCAGGAATGTGAGAGGTCTGGCATCGTCAAGGGCAACAAGGTGGTATGCGACAGGAGCGCGCACAACACACACACCCACACACACACACACACCACACACACACACACACACACACACACACACACACAACATTGATTTCTCATGGGAAATGTCTGATTGGCCGGATGTTGAACCTACTGAGATGCGTATTTAAGGTTCCCCTTCACCGTAGCGCTCGGCGTAGAAGCGACCAGTGACTGAACGAATGACTCCCCAGACACCGGCTCTGCACCCCTCCAACAGTGTTGGTTAGCGACGTGTCGTGGGCTTCATGGTTCGTGTTGCTAGATCTCGCAGTGTCTACTATGATGTATATATATCTCTGACGAAAACACCTCACGTATATGGCACCCATCGTCACAGAACCACAACAAGGACGGCCTGATTGAACTCTCCAGCCTCTCATCACAAACAACGGGCCATGCACATTTTGGTAGCGTCATGTGTATTGTAATGCGTTCATAGGCTCATTCCAGGCGAGTGGAACGGGCGTTGGTGAACTCCAGTTTGACTCCCGCCTGTCGCAGAGACCACCCTCTCTGTACACTCCCTGACAGAGCCCCAAAGGACAGACTGAGACTCGTCGGCAGAACAGTGGTCACTTGCATGTCACATCTGGGAATCGGTGACACCTTTGTAGAGTCCCCGGCGCCCCTCTTGGACCTTGATGGGTAAATATCGTCCCACCTAGATAATGGCCGCAAGGATCTCTGTATCTTTGTTTTATTATATCTATTGTTATTTATATTCTCTTTGCTCTTATTTTTGGTGAGAACTTATTGGAGCCTAAGCTTATGTAGAGCACCATATCGAAATAAGCGCACATGAAATTCAATAAAACATTGTAGAGTTAGTGTATGTTATACTATTTTTATGTAATGAGTAAAAAATACAGATGGAGTCTGACCAGATACAGAGCGCTCCTGCTGTCTCGTCAGCTGTCCTCAGTCTGACTGAAACGAGGGGCAATAGGTGCATTCTCAGAAGCAAACACAGTATCACATAAACCTACTCCGGATGTAGATCATGTGCTTCATGTTCAGCCAGTTTAACGCATTATTAACACAGAATCGCAAACACACATATGTGTTACTCATGCTAAACACACGCGTCTCTTGAACACGCAGGTTTATCGTATGTGCGACAGAACGTGAGCACTGCCGCACATGTGTATGGTAATAAACACCTCTACTAACTATCCATTTCACTCTACGTATTGTGATATCTGAACGCACGCCTCACATGGACATTATACGAGAGGAGTCTACTCACTAAAAACAGACATTCTAGCATACATGCTCTTGCTATTCTCCTGTGTACTCTCCTTGTTTCTTGGTATTCCCTCAGCGGGGCTCTTTTATCACATGCTCCGGGCCCCTGCCCTGTTTGAGCCCAGAAAATCGCGATATTAAGACGGTGAGTGAAGAGTTTCCTGAGATATCGGATAACATCCACCTGGATGCCGTACACAAGCTGCAAGCACACTCAGTAGAGTTTTTGTATAACTAGAAAATTCAGATGTTAGTCGACATGATGCTGAAGTGGAAACTTGGGCTGAGAATCCCGTATGGCTTAAGATTCACCCCCGCTGAGTAAGGTAATTTAAGAATAGCATTAGTTGTATTTTTTATAGGTACAGATCAAAGAAATTAGTCATAACCACTTGGTTTAGATCTACTTTTATAGCTGACGTAATTATAAATATTATGACTGATATAATCTACTATACATTTTGGATTCTTGCACCACGCGATTCCTGCTATCATGTTTCTGAACATCTTTAGATTACCACTGGATTTAGTTAACGACCGACAGGTGTGTTCAAAGATCAAAGCGTTTCCACGGCAACTCCCTGCCAGTGAACGGGAGACAGCCTGTCAGAGAATGTATTAACAATATTGTGCTGCATTATTGCTTCTAAGTAAAAAACTGTAACTCATAACAACTGTTGTGGACTTTAGGAAGAATGCACCCCCACCCGCCCCCATCACTCTGTGTGACTCCCCAGTAACTGCTGTGGAGTATTTCCACTTCCTGGGCACCATCATCGCCGAGGACCTCAAGTGGGAGCACAACATTTGCTCCCTCATCAAAAAAGCCCAGCAGAGGATGTTCTTCCTGAGGCAGCTGAAGAAATTCAACCTGCCAAAGACGATGATGGGGAACTTCTACACTTCCATCATGGAGTCCATCCTCACCTCCTCCATCACCATCTGGTACGCTGCAGCCACAGCCAAGGATAAGGGCAGGCTGCAGCGGGTCATCAGCTCTTCAGAGAGGGTGATCGGCTGCAATCTGCCATCCCTCCATCACCTGCAGGACCCTGCGGCGGGCAGGGAAGATAGTGGCCGACCCCTCCCACCCTGGACACAAACTGTTCACCCCCCTCCCCTCTGGCAGGAGGCTGCGCTCCATCAGGACCAAAACCTCTCGCCACCTGAACAGTTTCTTCCCCTCCGCTACCGGCCTCATCAACAAGGCCCGGCTCCCCCACTGACACTGACTTTTATCCATGTGCACAACATCTTGTTCTTTTTAAAATGCTTGATACTGCACATGTTGCACATTTCTCCTCCACACTACCTCTTTTAAATCGGCACAGCTCTCCACTCTAAATACAGTTAGTAATGTTCATATGTAAATATTGTTAACTTGTTAAAAAATCTTAAAATGTTTTTTATGTAGCTGTTATAACAGTCCTTCTTTTCTTTTATTTAGCTTTGATGCGTTTTCTTCTTTCTGTGTCTTTGTATGCTGCACATATACCTAAGTGGATTACTAGTAGGTATCCTACTTGGTAATAAAAACCTTTTCTGATTCTGATGTCTGTTGTGTCCAGATTTCTTTGTAAATCTTTAAAAAAAAAAAAATCTTTTTGGCACAATAGAGTGGTGCAGGGATGACGTATTTACCCGGAAGTAAGCTGCGCATGGGTTCCCTCGACAAAAAAGCAATGGGATTTCTCCATAGGATTTTGGAAAATGGCTCGAAATAAGGTCTGTGGAAAACGAACCTGTTTGATAAATGTACGTTTTGTTCCGCAGGATAATCTCCACATGTCTACCCTAATTTTATAATTTTATAATCACAAATCTAATCACCAGAAGCAAAATGCTAACGTTATGCTATAAACGAACTACAGTCGAGTACAGCACGGTTGCACGACTTCAACGACACGCCAACTTTAGATCCATATTCAAAAATACAGATTCTAAATGGTAAAACTTGAAGCGTTTGTTTTAACAGTTTGCAAGAGCGCAGGTACTTGCTTTCAAGCAGAACAGGGGCAAACAAACTTAGCGGGAGTGTTTACGTGTTCGGCGTAATGACGTACAACGTCCTCGACAACTTCTGTAGTCCTATTCAGCCACTTGTTACTCTTCAAAAAGTAGGGGTCACTGCTGATGTATTTAATGTCGTAGAATAACACGTGATCCGTCTCTTACATTTGTGTCAACCACAGACCTTGTTTCGAGCTATTTTCCAAAATTCTATGGAGAAATCCCATTGACTCTGAGACGAGGGAACCGGTAGTGGTAAAATGCTAACTCACTTCCGGGATTTAGGACTCGTCACTGCACCAGTGCACCACTCTATAATGTGCTTATTAAAAATAGAAGTGTGTGTGAACATCATACCTTGAGACCTCTGAAATCGGGAGCATTTCAAAATGCAAAAAAT